TTTCTTTTTTTTTTTTGGCGGGAAATATGGCGGAGGGGAGGTTAGGTTAGAAAAGTTTGATTTTTTTTTGTGTGTTTGTGGGATGAATTGTTGATTTGGTTTCGTTTAAGGTTTACTGTAATTCATTAATGATTGGTTCTGCTCTGGAAATAAAAATAGTTGAAATGAACCTCAACATCGTCTTAAATCAATATATGGAGCTTCAAATTGATATCCTTAGCGTAATTCCCAGTGAACCCTTTGCCACAAATATAACCTCATACCTTTGATATTTTTTGTTACAAACAGCCCCTGTTAGACGAACCTCTAACCTGTTTCGGTCAATAATCAGATAAGGAGTATCAGATAATTTTTGTATACAAAGAAAAATAAATAATAAAAACACCGACTTTGTAACCTAAATGACTCATTCTGAAAAGTTTGCATTAAAAAAAGAAGAAAAAAAAAGGTCTGAAGTATTTATATTGTTCTCAATAATACCGTCCTTTGTCTTTGTCGATAAAACCAATGTATCGCTTGCGTGCCTGAAGCCATGACCGCTATATAATGCTGAAACTTTTGTATTGCAGGGACATTACAACGGTCAAGCAACAGTTTAATATGGAATTAAACTTATATATGAAAGGACAATGCGATTCATCATAATAAAGCGTAAATTAAGTTTTGAGCAATTTAATTTCTATTTTTCTTCTTCTTCTCTGTCTGCCTTTCTCTCTTATTCAGTTCTCCTTTGCCACTATTTCATTCTTGCTTCTTTCTCCTATTCTTATCTTTCTTTCATTCCTTCTTTCTTTCTTATTTTTTTTCTCTCTTCCTTTCTTGCTTTTTTTTATCCACGTCCTTCTTGCTTGCTTTATTCTTTTTTTTTCTTGCCTCTTTCTCCTCTTCCTTTATTCCTTGCTTCTTTTCCTCTCCCTTTCTTGCTTCTTTCTTTATTTTCCTCTTCCTATTTCTTTTTTCTTTCTTCTTCCTTTCTCCTCTTCCTATCTTCCTTTCTCTTCCTTCTTTCTTCGATTTTCTCATTCATTTCAATCGTTCATATTGGGAGGATATTTGTGGTTTGTGTAGTATATCATTCTTTCACATAATTATGACACGCGGAACTATTTTTAAATCAGATTCTTAAATAATTTTAGATATTTTTTATATTTTTTAGATGCAGCTATTTTCTTCTTTTATTAGGTAATTTTAGATTTTTTTTTTTTTTTTTTTTTTTTTTTTTTTTTTTTTTTTTTAGAAAATGATATGGACAAGATAATGAAAAGCCTATAAGAAATGGTGGTTATATAAACATAAACAATATGATGATACATTTCATATCATTGTTATCTGTTTCCTAGAAGCAGTTAGCGTATAGTAGTAATATCAGTAGGTTTTGTCGTGTTAATTAGTAGTAGTACAGTCACAGCAACAGTAGTAGTAGTAGTAGTAGTAATAGTAGTGGTGGTGGTTAGCAACCAGTAATTTGAGTAGAATAGTATGTAGTAATTTGTTTTGTAGTTAGTATGAAGTAGTAGTAGTAGTAGTAGTATAGTTAGTAGTTTAGTAGTTAGTAGTAAAGTAGTAAGTAGTAGTATGTCAGAAGTTGATCCAGATTAGTGTAATATATGTTAGATAGTAGTTAGTTAGTAGTAAGTAAGTATGAAGTGTTAGTGAGTTATAATGTTAATCAGTAGTAGAATAGTAATTAAGAAATATGCTAGTATGATAGTTATCTGATATAATATGACAGTAGCATATGATATAAGCATCTATTAGTCATTAATATCTTTCGCTACTATGTGACATTATTAATCACAAAATATTAGTTAATGAAGATTTAACTAGTACTTAAGTTCTGCTGTGCATGTAGTCTAATATAAGATAAGTAAATAGCTCTTATAATATTCTTAATGTTAGACTATTTCCTCGCTGACTTTTACATAAGGAATATAATAATTACGTTAGTTATGCTGCTATTCATTAGCTACTTAGTTATCACATACTTAATGATAAGTTAGCAGCACTTTGCATTCAGCTTCATGTTTTTACAATTCATTCAACATTCACATCTCCATTCTCTATTTATTCTACTTCAGCATTCATTCACCATCATACCATACTATTCAGGGGCATATCACCATTTATTTCGATATTCCCATAGATATGACTGGTTAACACTAGAGAGCAAAGACTTAATTATGTAAATTTGTTAGATTAAGGAAATGCAACGGTTTATACTATCAGTCCGGTTAGGAAAAATGTTGTAAGGACCAAAACTCACATCAATTGACCATAATACTTAATTTGGTTCAGATATACAAGTATTTTTATTTCGCCTATAACCGTTTTGAGACATCAGCTTTTTATTACATGCTATTCTTATTATTCGTCTTTTGTAACAGTGAGGCTTAAAATAAATAAAAACAAAAAAAAACACTCATCGTAGCAGACTCTTCACATTTACAATTGGAGATGTACCGTGATTAATAGAGTGAAAGCTGCGTAGGTATTCCCTTCAAGCCACACCGCCAACAGGAGGAAAAGCTCTACTCAAGTAGGCGTAGCGCCTCCCGTGTACTTCGCGCTTCGTATTACTGTCATCCTCTCCACTGCCGTATATAGGGAGAGGGTGTAGCAAGAGGTGATTAGTTGATTGTAGTTTGATAAGTATATTTTTTTACACACGCACACACACACACACATACATCACATAATTGTTTATTGTCACTAAACTTTTTGTTATTGATTTTATGCTGCCTTTGTCTAACAATTATATCTATATATATATTATATTTTTATCTTCGATCATATTAGTAATATATGTATTTACATCACAACATTTAATATATCACACACAACTTTTCTTACTACACACACACATTACACACTATTTTTGATATTGATATATTCATTATTAATTAGCTGATGTATATGTTTATGCTATTTATAATTAACAAACATATACAGCTAGTGGCTCAATATTTATATATATCACACACACACATTATTTTATATATTATAAATAATTATATATATATACACTCACATCACACACAACGCGCGCGTGACACACTCACACACTCACACACAACAGTATTATCACACATTATATACTTAATTAATATATATAGATCATACATATATTATACTAACTACAGATATATTATATAATATATTAGTGTTGTATATTATATTATATATTATTTTATATATATACACACACATCACACACACACACAGCTCACACACACGCACACAACGCACATCACATATCATATATATACACTCACACACGCACATTAACCAATCACAATATATACACAAACACTAATATATATACACATCAAATACACATTATATAATTTTATAGTATTATTAATATACACACATACTCAACCACACACACACACTCACATTATACACTCCACGATCACACACTACATATTATTATATTTTAGATTCGAATGTAGATATTGTGATGTGTGTGTGTACTAGCTGATGTATATATATTTATATATAACAACACACATGTATCACATGACATCAGTCAACACTCCTGAACTCAATAAAAATCCGACACATCAACCAAACGATAATTATATATATATATATAATAGGGGACATATACATATACATTGTATGTATGTTATTATAGCACACAGACAAATGATTATTCATCCCTTAACAATGTATATATACTTTCATATATATAATATATTATTATACTTATATTACAACACACATCACACACACCGGCATCTAAGCATCGCACTGCACGCTAACGCACGACACACACATTATATATATGTAGTTATTATGCTTTATTTATATATATTTATGTATTAACACACACTAAGAAGATAGATTAGATAAGCAATAACGAACACTACGGTTCTAGATAGATAGAATAAGGTTAGAATGATAGGTAGATAAATGATAGAATAGATATCATACCATATTATATATCATATAGATTATAGTAACTATATTATTATATATATATATTATATATTAACACATTACACTCTTATCTCATATATGTATGAAACATATGAATATCACATTAAAACATTGGCATCAAATAATATATAGTAGTTACTTACATTATATTATTATATATACATTGTCTAATATATTATAGTTTTATACGTATATGTGTAGTATATATATTTATATATATTATAATATATTTATATACCTATATATAATATATTAACAACTTATTATATATACGCACTATAACCATAATTATCATACATACATTATATAATCAACAGTACACGCACTAGCACGCTACAACACTCCCTACATACCTACACACATACATAAGGTTATATATACATAAATTCTAATCTATATATATATAAATAGTTATACCATATATTCTGTATATCACACTCGTAACGCAAGCACGCACGACACTAAATTGCTTGATGATTTAATTACGCACGCACGCACGCACACACACACACACACTACGCACTTTGCACGGCAAGCACACGCGACACACACACACACACAACACACACACACACACACACACACACCATGACCACGGCAGCACACATCACACAACACACGCACAACACACCACACACCGGCACACACACACACACACACATACACCACACACCACACACACACACACCACGCACGATCACACACACACACACAACACACAGACGCACACGCACGCACGCACACACACAACACACACAAACACACACACACGCACGGCACGCACCCACACCACACACACAACACACACACACACACACACACACACACACATTCACACACGCACACACACACACACACACACACACACACACACAACACAGCGCAACACACACAATCATACACACACGCGCACACACACACACACACGCACGCACCACGCACTACACACACACACACACAGCACACACCACACCACACACACACACACACAACACACAACACACACACACACACACACACACACACACACACAAACACACCACACACACACACACACA